TAAGTAGTAAGTAAAAAGGGTTAATAATAATATTATTATAGTCTAATTATAGTATATATTATATTATATTATTTTATAGCTTAACTATTTACCTCTTTATATTCTTAAGGGCTTCTTAGGTAAGGCTAGACTTATCTTTTACTTATATTACCTATTATAAGAAATAGTATAATACTAAGAAGCTTTCTTCTTAGTTAGCTATAAACTTAAAAGGTAGTCTAAGGCGTAAATACTTATCTTAGTATCTATATTAGATAAGGTACGTAATAAGCCTTTATATAATTATTATATACCTAATATAAGTATAGTATATATAATAAAAATAAAATAGCTTATTAGCCTTAATATTAACCTAGTGCCTATTAACTTTAAATAATATATTCTTATTAACTAACTCTTAGTTAGTATACGCTTTAGCCTTAATAATAATATAGTAAAAAATAGTAGTAGTAGTATTAACTAGCTTATTAACCTCTAGGTTATTATTATCTAGGTTATATAAACTAGTAAGTATATAGATATCTTATTTCTTAGCTAGTAGACCTTTAAGATATATAGTAAAGCTAAGACGTAATAGCTATTAGTTAAAGGCGTTATACTTATTAAGCTTAGTAATATTTATATAGCCTTACTTCTTTATATTAATCTTAATATAAAATAATATAGTTATATCTTTAGTATTAGCTTATTTAGCTATTTATCTTACCTATACCTAGACTTAGAAATATTAGCTATTAGGCCTAGATAGAAATAGTTACTAGAAAAGTATACCCTTAATCTATAGTAGACCCTCTTTATTTAGTATATTCTTATATAGCCTTCCCTATATACCCTAGTAGTTTTTACTATATTCCTTTTATATATACTCTTAGATATGTCTTTTATCCTTAGTAATATAGTTATATTTAAGTATTACCTTATATTAAAGTCTATTCTTAATAGGGTCCTTAAGTTTAGGGATAGGCTACTAATTAATTAGGAAATATATATTATTAATAATATCCTTACTAGTTTATATAACGTCTTACTTAATTACCTATTAATATAATTTTTAATATTTTAGGCGTAGTAGTCTATATAGTATAGCTAGGAAATATATCTTAACCTTAAAACCTAATACTCTAATTTAGTATAATTAGTATATTAATATATAATATTACTTATTAATAATAAGGTCTTATATAGTATTAGTATTAGTTATAAATACTTTTATTTTAATATTAGGAAACTATTATATCTATATAGAGAAGAAATATATATATTTTTTTACCCCTAACTATTATTATTTCTATAACTACTATAAAAAGAAATTAATTATATAGGGGTAAATATTATTAGTTTAGAAGTAAGGAAAATATTATTACTAATAGAATAGGTAAAGGCTATTACCTTTATTACTATAAATATTATTATAAATTACTTTATATATAATTTATTATATAGGTAATTTTTTATAAAAATATTATAAGTAAAAAATATTATAGGTAGGAAATATTATAGGTAGGAAATGTTATAGGTAAGAAATATTATAGGTAAGAAATATTATAGGTAAGAAATATTATAGCTTAATATAATAAAAATATTAATACTTAAAAATATCTTACCCTAATACCTAAGAAATTATTACTAACTCTAACCTAGGTTTAAAATTATTATTACCCTTAGTTTTTTAAAAGTAATAAAAGTAAAGAAATCACTTACTTATTATTTATTATTACCTACTATGCCTAATAATTATCACTACTCCTTAGGTTTTTTTTTATAGGGTAAAAACACTAGTTAGGAAACTATCGCCTTATAGTACTAACACTTAGAATAAGTGATAGATTTCTTAGATATAATTATTACTAGTACCTAAACTATTACTATAATAACCTTAACCTTAGCTAAAATAAGACTAATAAGAGGGAATATAAAAAAGGTTATTAAGGGAGTAATTATAATATAAAGATAAATACTTATAATATAAATTATAATAATAAAAAAAATAAAAATAAGAGTAAGAGTATTTATAATAATATAAGATAATAATTATAATAAAAGTAATAGTAGTTATAAGGTAATAATAACTTAAGAGTTTTAAAATAGTTATATTAAGAAAAATAATACTTAATAATATAATATTAAAAGTTAGATAATATTATAAATTACTTAATAAAAGTATTAAATATAATATTAGTATTTTAAATAGTCTAGTTTTAAGTTATAATAAGCTTATATATTAAGCTTTAACTAACTTATAATAGATATTAATATAGACTTAATATAAAAAAATAGGAGAATATATCTTAAGACTAGAGAAATAGCC